CAAGTTCTTAATGTGTTTCTTATGCCCCCCAAATCTGAAAACAGCTGGACTATGAGAATGTCTTCTAGATTAAAGAGTGTAATAAAGTAAATATCAAAGAAAGCTGAAGACACCTTCAAGAGCAAATATTGGCAGGATCCCTTAATGGGTAAAATATCAGGCAAATAAAGGATTATACCATATTTTTAAAAGTCAATTAAAGATTTAGTGTTTGAAAACAAGGAAGATTTTAGATAAATTACTGGTTATTGTTTGAAAACATTTTACTCTTACAGGAGAAAAGTGTTTTATGTAAACAATTCTTTCTGTACTAATTACTCTATACATGATAAAATACTCTGTATATGATAATATATGAAAACAGGTGTCATAAACTTCAGATCAAAGGATATTTTTCAATAAAACTTTCTTGGACTAAAGCACATTCTTTTGAAATTAAGAAGCAGTAGGAAATGTACTCTGTAAAATCCAATTAACTGGGTATAAAATTCAGACTTGCTGCGATCATTTGGCCCTGCTAACCTGAGGTTTAAGTTTATACTCGGGAAAAAGGGATTTGAACAGAATTATTTCTATAAATCCGGTATAAATTAATCATTTTATTTCCCTGACTAAAGCCATTCAATGACTCCCCATATCTCTAAGGACAAAGTTCAAACTCCTTAAGAATATTTATACAACTTCCCTCTCCAGCCCCATGTCTTTCCCGTTCCCCCAGGTTTCCCTTTTGGCTTCTCCTCATTCTGACCTCTCAGATCTCACCATTATTATTCTCTCTGCCCGGCACCTTCCCTCCTCTCCTTTCTTCCCCAGCATGTAGTGAGCACTTAACACATACTGTGTTATTACTTATAATATCATTACTGACAATGAAGAAAAGTGGACAAGTTTAAGATATATTTTCAAGATAGAGTACTCAGGTCCTTTTGAACACTTGGGTATAAGAGGACTTACAAAGTAAAGAGAAAAGTCAAGGATGACACAAATTTTTGGCTTGAGAAATAAAGAAATCAATTTAAAAATTAGGGCTAATTACTACAAATGAGAAAAATAGAAGCATTGAGTGACTATGACCTTTGTTTTGTTCATACTAAATTAAAGATGTTTATGGGGGTAGCAGGGGATGTTAACCTGGAATAGGATACAGGAGTCTGGAATTCCAGAGGGGTTAGAGCTGAAGATAGAGATGGTATTTAAAGCAACAGCAGTAATGAAACCCCTTGGAAAGAGTAATGCAGAAAGAAAGTGGAAGGGCCACTTCAAGGGCAAGGGGAGGAGGAGTAGCAAGCAGAGGAAACCAGTAAAAAGAAACAAAACCAAAAGAGTGGTACCCTGGAGCCGAGAGAGGAAAGTGGTTTAAGAAAGTGAGAGTGTCAATCCTGTTGAAGGCTGCCAATGGGTGAATTAAGATGAGGCTGAGGAGGTGACCGCTGGATTGGGCAACATGGAGGCCACTGGTGACAGTGATGAAGGAAAGCTTGGTGAAGTAGGGGCCATGAAAGTTCGTCCAGTGACGGCTTCGGGAGGAGGCAACAAGAGGAAATGTGACCATAACCATAGAAGTTCCCTTAAGCAGCTTGGTTGAGAAGAGGAGCAGATAAATGGGGCTGTATGAGGGTGGCAACTGGATAAGGAGGGTGTGATTTTCTATTGCTGGGAGACGCACCCCATGTTAATATGAGAAGAATGATTCAGAAGAGAGGAAGACACTACAATATAGGAGAAAGGTAGTACCTACAGGATGAGGTCTGGAGGAGACTAGGAAATAGATTACAAAGAACAAAAAGAAGGGCTGGCCTTTGGTTGCAGCTGAGAGCATTCATCCATGCTAACAACTGGGAATGCAAGGATGGCTTTGGTGCGGGAAGGTGAATGTTTCTATTTTCTCATTGATGTCCGAGGCAAGGTTCTCAGCTGGGAATTGGATGGAGATGGGGTGAAGAGGTCTGAGAGGAAGTGGTGTGAAACCGTTGTCCAGAGCAAGGGAAAAGGTAGATACCTGCAGTAGCATTGCTTAAATGCCCATTTGCAGTTTGTCATCATGGCTTTAAAGACAAATCAATATATTCTGATGTTTTTCTCCAGGAAACTTCAGATGCTACCCTCACCCCGCTGCCTCCTCTGTAGCTTTGTCTTTCAGTCCTGCTAGCCTCTTCTGTGGAAACCTGTGTGGCTCCTCCAGATCTAGGTCTCCAGTGTCTCTGTTACCCCTGTTATGAACCTACTGTAATCATCCACTCACTCAGCGGTAGCTCCCATCAGAACACAAGCTCACAGAAGGCAGGCATTTTCTGTGTTGTTCTGAGTTCTAACCCCTACTTCAGACACAGCGCTTGGCCCACAATAGGAACTGAACACATGCTACTTGAATAAGAAAAATGTGGCCCGTAAAGCAAGTATCAGTCTCTCCAATTTCCACATTAGCATCAAGAACGTTTGTGCTGAATGTTAATTAAAAAGAATTCTTACCTATTAATGACCAAAACACTAACAATTTCCCTAAGATTTATAATTCAGCTTCCCCTGCTGTATTTCCCAGTGACTATGTATGGTTGTGTATAAGTTCACTTCATTTCTCAAAAGAGGTTTGCCTTTTAGCTGCCTTCCTTTCCAACTCTATCCTCTAAAAATGGTGAATAAGGAAGACTTTATTTTGTAATAGCAAATTGAAGGGAGAAAAATAAATAACAAACTTGTTAGTATTTTAAGGTCCAAGTCACAGATCTGCACATCACGTTTTATCTACCAGGTAGTTTTCTGTTTTGAATTAGAAACCCATACATTTAAAGAAACTATACCCCGTATTTCCCACATACATTTGCACAAGAAGGAGAAACATATATTTAAATACGTTTAGGAATATTTTGAATGATTAGGAATATTTTGAAAAGATATAATTTAGATTTAACTTTAGTTTTAATACAACGAATAGGTTTAACATCCAATCAGGTGCGTGGGTCTCACTTGTAGTCACTTCCACATTGCTAGGGAACACACGTGCTTTTCCTTGCCCACAGGTGTTACGGTGACCTACCTTATGGATCGGCACTGCGACATTCTATAAAGGTGCAAGAACGCGTATCCCATCTCACATGATCTTCACAATACCCATCCTTGAGATGTATTTTTATATCCAATAGAAATAAAAGTAAAATGAGGTTTATGGAGACTCAATAAGTCTTACAAAGTCACAGAGCTGATAAAGGGCAGAGTTTGAATTTAAACCAAGACTGTTTGGGCTCCAAAACTGGTTTTCTTTCAGTGAAGCAATGTGGTGAGCCCCTTATTGGAAGCGCCTTATGATGTCAAAGGTCCTTTTCAGTTCTAATATTGCATCATTTCTAAAGAAACAAAGAAGTTCTTTGAATATTTTACTCATCTTGGATTATCAATCCCATTAATGGCTGGGAGACAGTTCAAGGTGTTCTCAGTGTCTCTCCTGTTCTCCAGATATGCACTTGTGGTCGCAAACTTTATACAGAGTAACTCAAAAGGACACCTGTTCTTTGGATAGTAAGTAACACTGTTTACATTTATTTTTCTACCTGAATCTCTGCTGTAGAGAGCAGGAGGATTAAAGAAAATGTCCAGGACAGATAAAAATTTTAGAGATGCTCATGAAAGGAGTGTTACATTATGTTACAAATGGGTATTTGTATATAAAAACTGAAATTAATACTTCTTTTTTTTTGGGTTTCTAGTTTTTAGTTATTGGGTTATGTATTGTTACAAAAGTAAATATTTATTTCAGTTCTGTATAATGCTGAGTTCACTCTTGCCATTAATTTAATAGATATAATATGACTCCTAAGTTTAACTCTGCAATAAGCAAGGCACATTATTGACCAGATGAACATATGACACACTACACAGCATGTGTCACTTAATTATGGAAAGCATATGTAATAACAAACATTTGTAAAGTACATTATGTAGCAAGAGTTCATTGTAGGAATGAACTCATTTCACAGATGGAGAAAAAACGACTCAGAGAGGTCAGTGACTTGTCCAAGTTCAAGCTGCTAGTAAGGGATGGAGTCAGCCCCTGGAAAACACTCTGAGGGTTCATGCCTATAAAAAGATTCCTAATACTGGGATGATGTGTTATCATTTATTAGAAATACAATCAAAGAACATTGAACAGTCTTGAAGACTAGTGACTAGAGGCAACAAATCCTTGGCTCTAGGAAGTGCATTGTGCATATGAGAGTTCAATGTCTGAGTTGGAAAGGAGTGACTAAAGGAAATTATAAGGAACCTGTGTGAAAGGATATTGTAGCACAGTGAAAAGAACACTGAGCTGAACGATGGAAGCCAGCGAGAGGTCATCCGTAAGACAGGGCGTTGGACTGAATGGATGACTCGACTGGGACACCCTGTTCTTACCTCAACAGAAAACTACCCTCCGGCTCTGCCCTAGGGGGCTAACCAGCGGCCTTACATCCAGGTGCTACTGTGCCTTCTATTTTCTGGTTGGTTCTGCCAAGGGGACCCTTGGCTGAGATGGGAAAAGTAAGGGATATAAAGTTAGGGATTACCCTTGGCTCTCTTCCTGTGAGTATTCCAAAGGTCCCTGTTCCTCTCAGGGACTCCTGTTTTCCATGACTCTCGCCCTACACGTAACAGTGTCCTTCAGACCTGTATCCATGTGCGTGCACGACCCTCGTGGTCCTCCTACCGTCACCCACGTATGCAGCATCAGTACCCTTGTATATGAACTGTCCTCGCAGTATCCTGATTCAAACGCTGCGGGAACCCTGACTGATAGATGCTAGAAGATTCCTCCCAGCTGTCGTCCTGCACGTGACTGATTATTTTGTGAACTTCTGAACTTGGTTTGCTTGTTCTTCTTTCTCCCAAGTTGTAATTCTTGGCTTCTTCAAGTGAAGTTCAGATGGTATACAAATTATTAACAGAGGAAAATGCTCAGTCCATTTTCTTAGAAGTATAACTATCATCCATAACCAAAAGTAAGACAGAAGTCAAAAGTAAGTAAAATAAGGGCACAGCTTTATTTCACTACAAGGCAGTAAGTACACTGTCATATCAAAAGTTCAGTGCCGGCCATCTTGCACCAAAAGTTCTTAAGGCAGCAACTGGCTATGGACTCCCGTCTCTCGACCCCAGCTGCAAACACAGGTTCTGTGTGGCAGTTCTAAGACCATACACTTAGAGACCACAAGGAATGCTGATTAAACACATAACCCCTGAATTAAAGAACAGTCAGGCTGAACTCAAAACAAAACATAGGACATCGACAACACAGATCTCCCAAAATAAAAGAAGTGCAATGCATGCTCTTATAAACCAACAATTACAAAAAATAAAACAAAGAACAACAACGAATGCAAAAAAAATCTCCCAAATAAGTTTTCCAATGTATTACAAAAGGAAAAAAAAGTATATATATATATAAAAAATAAAAAAGTTTGAAATACTAGTGCATAGTCAATTACCTAACACCAAGTTTCTTGTCGTTCCGTCCCAAGCTCTACTGCCCCTCTGGTACTAGCAGCATGTCTACAGGCTAAGACCATAGCAGCAAAACACATTTTTTTTTTCATTTGGCATTTACAAAATTAAATTACTGAATAAAAATATAATTTTTTTATAAAACTATTTCATACAGTAATAATTTTTAAAGCAAGCTAACAAAAAAACCCTCATAAAATGGTTAAGTACAATAAATGTACCTCCAATGTTATTAGCCATAAATGAACATTTACAATATTGATTTATTATTCTATGGTATTAAGCCAACATTTATAGTAATGCATTGTGTTTAGTGGTTGAGAAAAGTGAAATGTTGGAGTACCTTTTTTGTGTGTGTAAAATTTCAAAAACTTCATCACAGGAAAAAATACTGGTCTGTTGGATCTTCTAAAATACAGATAAATCATTTTATGTTTAAAAACAATCTGCATCAAGATATTAACAACTGACTACAACTCGTTACCTAATAATTTAGGTAAGACTGTTATTTATTTATTTAAAAAAATCCTTTTAGTTGAGTGAAATCGGAGATGATTTCATCCGCCTAAAACGCACTTGGTGCTGCTCTCAACTGTTGTACCACAACAAAAATAGGCTCTTCTCCCACTCATGAAAAGTTTCATGTAGAGGAACGATATATCCCAAGTCAACGTGAAGTGTTCTGAAAACCATAATGCTTGTCTGGGAACGCCTCACATCACCAGAGTCCGGGCTGAGAAGGCGTTCCCGTACTTCCGAGCCTGGCCGGAAGCCGTCATCTGATCGTCTGTCTTTCCACAGGATGCAGCTTCCCAGGCTCCGCTACAAGGCTAAGGGGAAGAAAGAGCGAGGGCAAGGTCAAGACCGCGAAGCACATGGTTAACCCGCAAAGGGACCCCCCCGTCCCAGCAGGGCCAGCAGGAAAAGTGCTGACCTCCAGAGAGCAAGTAGTAGACACAGGGGAGCCTCGGTCAGATAACATCTTCGCTCTCTGACAGCCAGGAACCCAGCATTCTCAAGTGATATTAATGATCAGAAGTCGTTTATCACTCAGAGAGAAAACCCACTCCAAACAGGATGATAAGCTACAGCTGCATCTTCATACTTGATGCCTTCTATCACAGGGTTTTACCAAGCTGGACGCAGGAGTGAGCATAATCCTGTGAGCTGTGGGCGTTTACTCATTAAGCAAACTGGTGAGTGCTTGAGCCGCCCCAGTGAAGCCCTGTAGGAGCTGGAATTGATCAACACCAACTAAACATAGTATATATTTTAAAATATCAATTAAAATATCGATTAATTTAGAAATAGCTGTTTACTCAGAGAGTAAACTTTTTAAAGATACACTGGAAGAGAGAAGATGGAGCTAATACGGGTAGCATCCGGATCCACCTCTGGGGTTTGACACGTGATCTCACTGACACAGCACAACCACCTGGGAGGGAGGTTCATTCTCTCTTTAACTGGCAAGAAATGGACACGGGAGTGCAGACAGCTTGCCCAAGGCCGCTCTACGGGTAAGTAGTGGGGTAGTTTCGAACCTTTGTCTCCTGCCCAGCTCCGCTCCTGCCTTCCCTCTATGTTGCTGCCAACCAAAATACATACTATTTTGAACCCTATTTCGTTCCCCAAACCATTTGAGGTGCATACAAATTTAAAAAGGTGGACAAGGCAGGGTCACAGAGAATGTGGCAAAATAATATAAAGATGAGGTGAGATTTGAATTCAAAACACTTGCCATGAACTTGCAAACAGCAGCTAGGTGTCAACCTCAAGCTTGGCTCTGAGCTCTCTAGCAGTCAGTGCAAAGAGGGAAACAGAAACACAAGCAGACATGATTCGGGGTCCATAAGCTCAAAACTAAACTGGTGTTTATAAAAAGCACAACTATTCCTAATATTGACATCTAAGAGGGATTCTGATCCCCCCTGAGACAAAAGAATAAGAAACGGAAAGCCTCTACTCTTTAGAGACTCCAATGTCCTTTAGGAGACAAAGTGAACACATGTGAAACAGGTAAAGTAATGACTGGCAGTGTGGAAGGTTTGTGATGCCATGGCCAGATAAGGAGGCGATAGGACACCGAGGAATAGCCAGGGCAATGCTCTGGGGAAATAGGCAAGACCTAGATAGACACGTGCTAAAGAGGGTGGGTCACTCAGGTAGAGAAATAGCATGAAAGAGTCGGAAGCTAGTTTGTTCACTGCTTGTGGGAGGACTGGGAGACAGAGAGGAAGGGATGCAGTGTGGATTAAATGACAACATTTAACAAATGCTTACTCTGCACCACCCATGCTTCTAAGTATTCTACACATATCATCTCACTTAATTCTCGCACAAAACACCTGTGGCATAGGTATGGCTCATTGCACCTGTTTCACAGAGCAAGCAATTTTAAAGAATGAGAGAACTTAGGCAACATCCTTAAAGCCACCCAGCCGGGAAGTGCTGAAGCAGGAATGTGAATCCAGACTCCATTAAGTGTAAGCTGCCGCTTCCATCAGAGTTCTTATCAGTGGGAAATGGTGGGGTGAGGTCAGCAGGGCCTTGGAATGCAGGAAGAAGCATTTAGATGAGCTGTCACAGTCATCAGACTTTTTAGCAAAGAGGTAAGATCATTCCGAATGGATGTATTATTTGAATGGTGACGGGGCTTCCCCGCCTAGGGTCTGGAACAAAGTTTCAGTGACATAAGGCTTATAGCACCATGTTTCTAGCTTGTCAGCTTTCATAGGACTAGATTTCTCAGTTTCTGCCTAATCTGTTGTGCATCTGACCACCGACGCAAAAGGCACCATCCAAGTTTACACACATTTACTCTCCAGGCTCAGAGGCTTGATACTACATAAGCAAGATGGGTTATCATGTTTTCCTGGAACTGTGAATCACAAAATAACAGGACAGAGATGAAAGGGGGCCGACTTCTACTACTGAGTCACATTTAATGTTTTCCTAAATAAAATCACCAGGGTAGTTAAAGCATTCTTTAATACAGTTCTGAATAAATGACGTTTCTCTAGGTTGAAGGAAGTGGCTTAAATATGCGTATTTCTCTGGTGTATATCTGTCCACCCAAATCCTGTATTTTAGTTGATTGCTTACACATTATTGCTAAAATTTTTGAATGCAGCACCAAAACACCAAATTGACACAAGAAACCCAATTAACAAATAAAATGTACAGAGCTTGTGTTTGCAGAGACACATAGAGAACAATATGACAGTGTGACACAAAGTAACAATGTGACTGACATATAACAATGTGACATGTAATACCTAGCATTTGAGAGTGAACAGTTAAAAGTTGGTGGCTTGTCCACCATGAGTACCATGCAGGGCTTAGAACCAACGATGTGCTTAGACTTAGAACACAGTGCATGGATCCTAAAAGCAAGTGACTGAAGACGACACAAGATGAAATATCTTAATATACTAATATCTTATATGTAACATAAAATTACAGAAAGCTACACATGAAACCCAAAAATACATATTTTGAAAGAACAGAAAGAAATAGATGAGGGGAAAGTGAGAATGGAGATGAAAGCGAGGAGGAAGGAAGGAAGGATTGTTTCTGTCTTTCTCTGGTTAAGAATTTTTCTGCTTAGCTGAGCTTCAATTACTATAGAATTAATTTTCTAAATGTTTAAATTAAGTGTTTTAAAAACTATCTTCAAAGAATCTTATGCTTGCTTTGACAATGCCTCTGGTAAAAAGCTCTGATCCTTGGCAATACAGGACTTGAGTTAATTCAGAATCCCAATGTCTGTTCAGGAGAATTATCAGCTTAATTGATTCTCCACTTGAACTTTGACTGTGCTCTTGTTGGAGCTCCCAGATGGCTCATCACTTTACTCATGTTTGGCAGTTCTTCCAGAACCAGATATTTAAAACAGGTCAATATAAAGAACATACCATATATTTTGAACTACTATTTTGGAAAAAAAAAGTTTAAAACAGTCAGCTTCTCCTAACTTGAAATGAAATTTATGAAGCAATAAAACAAATTGAAATATCTTAAGTCCAGAAAGCAGAGCATTTCAGGGGCAGATAAGCCCTGCAGCTCAGAGTCTAGAAGGGCAAGACGACCTGGAACACCTGAATTCACCTCCCAGCATAGACAGACACCAGGACACAGGAGCCACTGTGTGCAAGAACCACTGAATGCTGAACAGAAAGGCGAGCATGAGTGGGTGGCTCCTTTCCTGTACCGTGAAGGGGGAGAGCAAGCACTTCTTATGGCCATGAATGGGAAAACTGGTCAGAGCAGACACACACCTACTTCATGAAAGTACAGGAAGAGCAGCAGGTCAGGTACCCAGGTAAGAAAAGAAAGGATGCTGAGGTCTACCAGCCAAAATGGCAGCTGCCTCCTCTTTTGCTATTTCCTTCTCCCACCTTACCCTGAAGCCCTGGGGCCCCAGGCCAACTTTCCATGCAGATGGAATAGTTTTGACAAAGGGGATTACATGTCTTTGTGCTAGAAGAATATGTTTTAATGCTGTCATATATGATCCTTGTGCATCCTCCTTATTCTCTCTCCTTAAACGTTACTTTCACTTACACAAAAGAATTGATAAGAATTACGGATTTCTGCACAGGAATTCTTGTTAAATTACTAACCCAGGGTGCTGTTGCAGACATGTCACTCTACCCCCTATTCATTTCAACATTAATAATCCGCCCGCACATCCTCTTCCTCCTGCCCGCCAGTCATCTTCCTTATCCCGTAATGTACCTTTAATTGCCCCTGGGCAGAAGTGAACTATAAACAGACTGTCAGAGCTTTAACTGGGATATCCTGCTGAAGCACTTTAAATAAATACACAGATCCTTTGTAGAAGACAGAAGAAAGAAAATGAGACAAGACCATGTCCACAGGTGGTTTTCTGTCAGAATTAGATTATTTTCACATTTTCGCTTAGAATATGAATGGGTTTTTTTCTCCCTCATCATGCTGAACAAGAACCACTATTGTTGTTATATTCATAGAGCAGCTTCACACAATAGCTGCTGATGTCAAAAGCTTTGGCAGGTATGTGCTTTACAATTCACAGGCCTCAACAGAACTTGCATAAGTTATAAAAAATGATTTTGTAAAACCAAAGAAACACGAAATGGTATTATGTTTTTCTGTTGTTTCTTTTTTTAAAAACAGTAAGCAGATATAAATGGTGTCCAAAAGACTAAGAATAATCTGATTATTCTATTTCACCCATCTGAAGAAAATACTTACTCTGGACTATCACTTTAAAAGTCAGAATTCCTTTCCAAAGGGGCATCTTTTAAAATGCATTAGTTATGAGAGATAACGTAGAAATCTTTAGCTATATTTTGAAAGTCAAGAAAGAACCTGAGATGAAGTGTCCCTAAGGTAAAGTTAATGGTTACCAAACTTTTTCTACATATAAATGCTTCCCTATGTTTGCACAAGACAATTAAAAGCTCCGAACTCTGGGGCTGCTAACTTTTCATAGAAAAGAGCCTTAAGCTGTAGTGGATCAAAGGTCCAGATGGTGATTTAAGGTTGTACCATCCAGCAGTGCCTCCACATCCCACGGAAGTGTAAGCTGACAGTTGCTAACTGGGATGGACTTCCTAAATTTGGATTTTGTCCTCAGTGTTTCACCTTACATATTGATAGACTTTCTAACAATTTTAATCGCATAGCCTCAGTGTCACAATTTTTTGGAGGAATAGTTCTTTCCTTAGTTACATATTAGTTTTAAACTGTTAAGATTAAGACAAGTGCCAAGCTGTTCTAAAGCAATTCTATCTCTGCAAGCCCAGGGAAGACTCAATATCACAGTGTTTACTAAGCCCAACCAAAC